CAGAGTAGGCAAAGTTCTCCCATTTATTGCTCCATACAACGGGCCCGTTAGATTTGAAGTAACTGATATTTTTCACCAATTCTAGAGCAATGTCAGGGTGTTTTTCACACAGTTGACCGAATTCAGGAACAACAATTCGCAAATTATTCTCAAAGTCAGGCTTAGTTTTCGATTTCTCATTCATCGATGTCGCTCTCTTGTAGTAGTAGAGTAATAATGAACGGACAATATTGGTTCTACTCAACGATATAGCGTGAGAAAGATCCGACTGACGCTTTTCTTCCTCAAAATCATCAAATGTCAGAGTAATTTTTTCTTTCTTCAACAATTCCTCAATCAAAATATTGGCTCGTTCACAATCAAATTGCATTAAAACCTGCAATATTTTGCTCCATGTCGCTTTTGAATCGTCATTTGAAGTGCCATCAATTATTGTAAGTCGAAAAACCTCGTTCTCTGGTTCGCGTATAAGCCGAAACTCCCCGTGCTCTGATTCGTCAGTCGATTCAATACTGTCAAATACATCGCCATCGTAAGACAAAAGGGCACGGTCGATGATCGATTTGCAGCCGTCAAGAAGTGTTTCATAATGTCGGTAGCCTTCACTCGCCCATGATTTACGTTCAAATGAGTTTAAAATTCCAAGAGCATACGATGCATCTCTTACTGTATGCCTTTCAATTTGTATTCGAAAGCAATAGTAAAGACGTCGTCTGATAGTTTCGTCAATTCTGCCCACTCAATAAAGTATTCTTTAATAAAACCTTTTTCGCGCTTTTGTTTTATAATTGGTATACACCAAATATACTGCAGAGTTTTATTTTCTGCAAATTCGGACCATAACTGTATCGTGTGTTTACCAATGAACAATACTCGATCATTTCTATCATCCAGCATGACCGCTGTTTGGACACGGGTTGCGACCCATGGCTCTATTTCGAATTGTCTAACAGACTTAATTACTCGCGCTTCACAACGTGTACATAGAATCACTGTGTTAAGACCGTTTGCTTCAAATTTATGCACTCTCTTCGCTTTGCTCTTGCGGGGAGACGAACTAGCGAATAAACAGGTGGCACTCCATTTCCGGTGGACGCAGATTCCGGCTTATTCAAAGGGTCCTCAGCAATGGGCGCAACAATTTGTTCGACACCTAAATGCAATAGTTGTTAGATGTACGTTAGACGACTGAGTCGATCCACGCATATTTCGAAAACTAGAGGCAAAAAATAATATTACCGGACGCATGTAAAACTTTCTCTTGTTCTTCAGCAAGAGTAATGTTAAACGTATCCATGACAAATTCCTTTGCGTAATCGTATAAACGCTCTTCTACATCTATGAAATAAACTTGATAACTAATCCATTGCTCCAAACTGTTAACGGGCAGCGTCCATTCGCTTTGGAACTTCTGGCAAAAAATCTTAACACACGCGATAATTAAAGCTGTGGACCAAACGCGCGTGCTTACGGACATTAGCTGTTTGTCAGTCTTAATACGCGCTGATAGGGCGTGAAAGAGATCCGACGCAGATCCAAAATTAAAGCAGAGAGCTAAGTCGTTGCTAACATCGAAAGCAATGGCGTTAAATGCCATGCCGATAAGACGGTACAAGTCATCGATGTCAACAGTGTCCTCGCTGAAATGGAAGCGTTCACTTTCAAATCTCGTAGAATAAAATTGAGCGTTAAGGCGCACCTTGCACTTATTCCCTCCCGGAATATTGATCTGTTCAATTTTTTCCAAAGCTTGTCTCCTATTATATAGTCCATCTGCATTGCGCATAATCAAATCGCTCAATGTTAATGAAAAAAATTCAGCATCAAAATCAGTCAAAGTTTTATCGAAATTTTCGAAAATGAGCTGGCCCTTTGCATTGTGTACGGGGAGGCAATGTACTCCGCAGACGTTGTTAGCTTTGTATGCAGGCGTCCCCTTGTTGGCAGCTCCCTGCGAATTAACCTCAAAGACGCGAACACCCATACCAAACAGTCCGCCCGATAAAACAACATCGTTCGCTTGATCAATTTTGACTCTGAGGATGCCAACTACAGTAGTGTCGTATTCATCGTATTCATCTTCGTATAGCTCATCACAATCTAACTCACAGTCATCGTCATATTCAATATCGTCAAATTCATCTTCGTCTTCAAATTCTTCATCGACATCCTCCTCTTCAGTTTCGGCCTTCTCACTTGATTTGAAAGACAAATCCTTTGTCAAAGTCCCTTCATCTACTTGATAATGGTCATGAACAAATACTCTCGCCTGCTCAAGTAGTTTCTTTTCGACCTCCTCGTCACCAATTAGATCGCTTAACCAAATGGACGACTTTTTGTATGCATCTGCCCACGTTTCACGGCGATCAACCAGTACGTAGCGGAAGTACCATTGAACGACTGCTGTGCAGTATATGTTGTCACCAAAGTCAATAGACTTCGAAGAAAACCAAGCCCGTAAACTTTCCTGTGCAACTTCCGTCGACTCGTATCCGAAAAGTTTTGCAAGACGAGCATCGAGCACGTAAACACCTTCAGCTTGATATGAAAGTATCCGGCGGATGTCTTGATCAGAAACAAGTGTTGTACGTCCTTCAGTTTTGTTGGTCTGACTTTCGCTCTCAACGACGTTGAACCGTTTGATAATATAACTCTTTGCTTCTTCATACAACCATTCTTCAGTTTCTATATCGTTAATGGATTCGGTAATCCAATTTCCCCCCTTTACGCATGATGTCTGCCATTCTACTTCATGTTTCGATAAGACAATCTTAAAAAATGATATGACAAAAGCCGACACAATGATGGATTTGTCAAGTGACTTAAACTTCTCCTGCAATGGTTGGATCAACTCCTCGACAGTTGAAAACTTAAAAAGCTTGGTTAAGCGGTTGTCGACTTGAAATGATCCTGTCAACTCTTGAAGAGACAAGATGAAATAGAGACGATCTAGGCCAAAAGAAGGAGCGTCCAACGCTTTTCTCAAATAATCGTCGCCAAGAGAGATGAATTCCACGTCAAATCGAAGTTTACCAGCGACATTGCCCTTATATCTCAAATCAGCATATCTTTTCTCACACTTGGCTTCATTTGCTTCACGCGCTCGCACCACGACTTTGTTAACATCCAGAATGCACGTGCCCAACGGAATGTCCTTAATGAACGCATTATAGTCGTTCACTTTCAGCTTTAGCTTCTTTTGCTGGTCGTACAATGGGATATAAAAGGCTTGCTTCCAGAGGGGCTTCTTACTATTATACACAAGTTTTGTCTGCCCGTAACTCAATTCGGTAGCTAAATCGGCAATTGTTACGTATGGATCCAAGTCTCCACTTGCGATCGACCAAAATAAACTGATGGTTGCACTATCAATGTACAGACGTATTAAGCCAATTGGGTTACGATCTCGCCGTGATAGGCTTCGCAAGCCGTGGAAGCTGTAGCCGGCGGCGGGTGTATCTAATTAAGACACCGAAATTTTATTTGGGAAGTTAGAATTTTTCAAAAAAAAAAAAAATCCGCCGCGCAGAACGCATTACACATACCAACTATATCAGCGGTTTCCTCTTTTTCTGGCACTGACTCGCGTTCAATCAGAAGACTATTGCTTATTGATGGAATCTGCTTGTCATAGTTGGCGTACGAACCGTTGCCTGTTGGTTGGAACACTGAATTTGGCTCTACACGCACATATTCGTCAGTAACGGCCATACAAGTGCGAACGTCGCGTATTTGCATCCCATCAGTTGTGTTAATTATCATCAAAAATTGATCCCCGTCAACCCATAATATGCTTGTCCCTTCCTTGGTTTCGTGGCTCGTTGCAGAGGAAAGTATGGCACCGCCTTCACATGAAAAAATTGCAAGTGTTCCTTCTGAGGTCCACGCTGCAAGCTTTTTTTTGTTGTGGGAGAGAGCAAATACGGCCGGTTCTTTATCAGCATTTTGGAAAGAATCCTCCGTCGGGCATCGAATGGAAGTTATCAGTTCATGTTCAGATATCGACCAGAGTGATGCTAGTTTCCACTAAAAATAGAAAAATTGCACAGCGTATCATCCATCCAATCAGAGAATTAGCAGGAATGTAGGGGATATATTAAGAGTGATCCAATAGAGTTATACTCACGTTCTCGACGCATATAAAGTAGTCTCCAAGAAGCGAGTTTTTCAAAAACTTTATCTGATTTCCATGGGTCATAAATGCTTTGCAGGCTATTCGTAAATTTATCGTAAATGACCGAAAAGTTCTTTTTTCCCAAAGTCCAATCCTGTGTTGAAAAGATATAAAGTAATTTCTTTTTTTCAGGCTGCATGTCACACACAATGAACTTTGTATTGTCGGAGGAAAACTGAATCGCTCTTTTCAATTTAGCCAACGCGGGTTCGCGTCTAGGACGTGAATTGGTAGTATCAACAACAAATGTGAAAAACTTTTTGGCATCCGTTTTTAGTTCAAAAGGCTCTGGGTTTTCATTTTCCTGTGGGAGTCTAATTGTACTTAAAGCTACAAAGCTACCTGCACAACATTGTTGATTTAATATTAACCAGATGATTTTACACTGTGAAAAAGCATGATCAATCTTTACCTTTATTAGACAATGCAAAATCAACATCACTAATTTGTTTAGAAGCGTCCGATGCAAAGCTTTTCTTCTCTACTCTGTATGCTCTTGGCTTCAAGCGGGTGCTATCGTTCTGCCAAAGATATGTATTTCCTGTATTTTTTAGTGTAGCTACGTCCCATATAGTTATTATACCCTCGGTTGCCGAATATGTCGCCAGGTGTTTTCCATCTGGTGAGAATGTGCATGCATCTATATGTTCAGGTGGTTGTTGGATGTCGATTCGAATATTAATCTCGCTCATAATGGGTAGCGTAAAGTAATTCGCTATGTCGTTTAAAATTTATTTGGATTATTTATAGCTTGTACTGCCAAGTAAAACTACATGCAAGAAGCGCCACAAACAACGTAACATGTTGAAGTTGAATGTCGTAGTAAGTGTTTAAGTAGTAGCTTTGTTATTTATAGTTGTGATTGTTGTTTTTGTTATTTATAGTTGTAGTTGTTGTTTTTGTCGTTTATAGTTACTGTATTTAAATACAGTTTTTTCCGTATTTTAAATGCACTTTTTCCTGTATTTTAATACTTTCTGAAAAACGCGGAATGCCGTTTATGGTATTTAAAGTACACTTTTTGTTAGCCTAAAAAAGCATATTTAAATACACTTTTTCGACCCAACTGTCCGGTAACAAAGTGCAGTCGGACCCCGTTATAACGAAATGCGATATAACGAATTTTTGTTATACCGAAGAAAGTGTTCCTTCCCCCCTTTTTAATATTTAAATTTGATTGTTATTACAATTTTAATAGTAACCTTGTTACCGAAGTTCGGTTGCAGGATTTTGTATATTGTACTATGGTGCGAATCATCTAAAGACCGAAATTTTGTTCTGCAGATCATTGACAATCACATGACATTCGCCCAAGAAAATGTTCTGAATCACAATAAGGATTTATGATTTTTGATATTAATTGTCCAAATGCTTCAAATTTCAAATAAAGTAAAATTGTTCGCTTAATAAATCGCCTCCCAATCCTATCTCCAATGTGCCTGCGTCTGTATTAGAGGCATAGTGAAACACTCATGAAAATTACTTGGATAACGGATTGTTACACGCGGAAGTTACACAACCGGTGTCCGAAATTTTCTATTTTTCTTAATATTACAGTATTAAGGAAACTCAAGAAAACACAAAACTTTTTTAGTTGACTAAAAATCTAAACCGTAACTTTTGTTCTGCATCATCTGTTCTATCATTCTTATGGATTAGTTTTCTCCATATCATCTAATAGAAAAGTCTTAGGGTTTTGAAAGTTGGTTAATTTATTTCAAGCTTTAGATGATCTGCACCATAGTCGAAGTTTATCACGTGACACGAAATTTAGCATGGTGATTGGTTGTAATAATTATAAAACTTGCCATACGTTGTGGTCTGGTCATAAACAACGATATGGTCGCCATGTCTTCCCACTGTCTTACTAAAGATGCCATAACCGCTTTAAAACTAGTTCAAAAAGTACTAAATAATTGTCAAGACATGATAGAAAAGAAAGAATTTAATTTAGAATGAGCTCAAAGTCTTTCGTTCATTGAAAAGGAAGGTGAAATTACATAACGTTACAAGCAAAAAGCAATCTAGAATAGATTCTTTCTTCCTGTATATTGATATTATTTTGCAACTAAATATTGCTTACGAAAGCCTCGATATTGTTGTATGTCGGTTTGGAATTTATGTCCATTCGGAATAAACATGTATGTCGGATTGGAATAGTAAAGACAACCAGGTAACAACATTATAAAATCATTTATTGGCATTATGATATCA